AAAAAAATGGATTAAATTACTTGATAATATTTTAAGATGATTATAAAATTAAAATTTTATTTTTCAAGAAATTTAAATATTTTACGTTTAATATTTTTATTGTTAATCAATTTATTATTATTTATAAATTTTTTATTTTTTTGTTAATTTAAATGTTTGTGGTTGAAATTATAAAGTATTTAGTGTTCATGCATTATAATATTTTAATTAGATTTAGATATATATAATTTTATTTGTATATAATAAAATTAACAAAAAATAATTATAAAAAATAAAAATAAGGTCAACTCACGAGTTAACCCATAACCCGTTAGGGTCGGGTTAAGGTTAGAGTTTTTCGACCCGTAACCCGTTTATAACCCAACCCGTATAACCTGTAACCCGTTTATAACCCAATCCGTATAACCCGTCAGTCGAGTTGAGTTGACCCTAACCCGACTCAATTTGCTAGGTCTAGTTACTCGCGTTGCACAGTTGTGCTCCTTGTGCTGCCACGTTGTTAAGACAAATCGAGAATAGTGAAATACCATTCAAGACCCTTTATCTGTTTTTTTTTTTGTTTTTTTTGAACAATAGGGTGGAACTCCCACTGCACCTCCAAATCATAATACGATAAATACTTTTACAAAAATGAGGTAGTCACTAAATCTCAAGAACCGAAGAACGTTTTCAAGTCCCATTATTTTATTTTTTTTGAATAATTTGTAATTATTTACAAGCTTAATAGGGAGAGGGGAAAAAAGGTTCTATGAGACTTGAGCGTGCAATCCATAAAAATAAACAACCTTAACTTAGGGTCCAATGCCATTGACCGGAACGAAACCGTTCCAAGTCCCTTTATCTTTTAATTAGACAACAAAACTGTGTTTTTATTTCTTTTCCCACTGTCCTCTCGCCTACTTATTTTTCACTTTCGTTTCGCTTAATTCAATAACTGATTTATTAATTATTAATCTAATTTTATTTAATTTAAGAAATTTGTTTTCTTTCTAAATAATTTCTAAATTTTATAAAATATTTTAGAATAATTTATTGTATAAAAATTATATTAATTATAATTTCTTATTTACT